TGGAAGTTTGCCATAAGCAAGGGTAGTTAGTGGTCAAAACACATAATTTTGTATGTTATGTTGATGATGAACAAAACTGGTGAAGCCACAGCCGGATGTTCGTTGGGTTCAGTAGGCAAAGTTGACTTTACCTTCCTTGTTGTTTTAAAGCTAGTCCAGGAAAACTTCAAATTGCATGGGAGATTTTTTTTTTCAGAAGCACTTCAGGGATGTTGGAGAACCAGCTGTGCTAGAAATGGACAGAACTTGCACTTAGTATCTCCCCTGCGACCTCCCCAGAGACTTTAATTTTGAAAAAAGGTCCTTTTATGGCATCTTGCATCTGAGAGAACAGGTCATGGTTCCACTTAAGGCATCCCAGCCCCTAAGCCATAACAGCTGGGTAAATTTGGTTACGAAGTTTCCATAGTAAAGGTTTTCAGAGTTTGGATCTTCAGGTTCTGACTTTGTGCCAGCGAACAGCGGCAGACAGCAGACAACAGCTTTGCTGGTGAAAATACGGCCTGTTGAATAGGGAAGGAGACTTTACAACACCAAACATCTGAAAAGACAAGAGAAAATAGGCTGCTTGACGGGAACCTTCGGGTAGGCTTGTGAAGAACATTGTGCGTATGTGCTGAGCAACGGGACAGATCAGGCACTCTAATTTTTAATAATTTAAAGTAAAAAATAGAAACCAAATATGAAATGAAGCGTGGAATACTGTGTCCAGTTCTGGGGCTGTCCAGCACAAGAAGGACTCCTGTTGGAGTGGATCCAGAGGAGGGCCACGAAGATGATCAAAGGGCTGGAGCACCTCTCCTATGAGGCCAGGCTGAGAGAGATGGGGTTGTCCAGCCTGGAGAAGAGAAGGCTCCGTGGTGACCTTGTAGCAGCCTTCCAGTACCTAAAGGGGGCCTACAGGAGGGATGAGTATCAGGGAGTGTAGGGATAGGACGAGGGGTAATGGTTTTAAATAAAAACAGGTTAGATTTAGACTAGACATAAGGAAGAATTTATTTATTTTTTTTTATGTTGAGGGTGGTGAAACACTTGAACAGGTTGCGCAGAGAGGTGGGAGATGCCCCCAAGTCAAGAGCATCTCCCAAACGTTCCAAGGTCAAGTTGAACCAGACTTTGAACAACCTGCTCTAGTTGAAGATGTGCCTGCTCGTTGCAGGGGAGGTTGGACTGGATGACGTTAGAAGGTCCCTTCCAACCCAAACTACTCTATGGTTCTATTAAATATATTTTAAATGAAAAAGTAATTGCTACACTATATGAAAGCATTTAAGGAATATAAAATGAAAAGGAGGCAGTGAAGTCATACACAGTGGTTGTATATTTGTACAAAGGAATCTGTGAGTGTAATTTGCTTTAAGGACGTTGATAATCCCAGTATGTCTGAAATAAAATCACATAGATGTAAAATTCATTTAAATTACAGTAAGGAGTAATTCACTACAGCAATTTGATAAGAAACATTAGATTAGGGGCTGCGGGGAGCACTTGTTTCCTCTGAACTTCTTCATTGCTCCTGTCTTTCAACGCGTGAGGGAAGGCAGACTAATTACTGCAGATGAAGTAGGTGTCTCTTAATGTTCCCTCCTGCATTGTGGCAGATGAGGTCTGGGGGTGCCCCCTGCACAGCACGTGGTAGCAGTGAGAAGAGCTGCTGTAAAGGCCTTGAAATCATGTTTTCTCTGGGGTTGGTTCAGGTAGAGGGCCACAAAGATGATGAGGGGCCTGGAGCATCTCTCTTTATGAGGAACCTTCCAACCCCCGGTGATTTTTTTTTGAAAGACGTTCCCTCCACTCCCTCTTGATACATCAAAAAACTCTTCAAAGTGATGAAGCCGAGGTTCGGTGGTTGGTTTTTAAAACTAGCAACTTTAAAACGGAAACTTGTTTTGCTTTTACACACAGAAGCTCTGTTTCATTTGGGGCTGGGAGGGGTGGGAGGGAACTCAGAGTCGGTACACTTTCTCTTTCCCCATTTTTCTGTGACGGCAGTTTCTGTCTCGTTTCGGGCTGATTCGGCAAGATTTAGTATGAAAATAGTGCTGTGGAAATTAAGAGTCAGCTGGGAACCGTGTGCTTGCTGAAGAGAGCCAATTTCTAAAAACGTTTGGAAAAGTACTTGGGGGGTGAGGGGGGGAAGTACTATTTGGCTCTAAGGGTACTGTTTGAGAGCTGCTGGCACACGCGTGGGACTGAATACCGTTTTACTGTCACCCTGAAAATTAGTGAGAGAACATCTACCTGCTGGTGTTTCCCCTGCTGGTTCTATTTCAGCTACACCTCTGAAGAACCAGATTTGTCCAGCATGTGAAATATTATGCAGTAGTAAAGAAAAATATGCCATCTGTGTTTTACAGCTGATCATCTGTTTTCAACTTCACTTTTTTTTTTTTGCTGAGTTGCCTGAAGCAAGACGTACTCAGCCTGAATTAAATTGACGCAGGCTTTGAAAATTTGAGAATCTCCATAATCATTGTCAAAGGTTTTGTAAGCTCTCGAAAATATTTGGGGAAAAAAAGACTTGACGCTTGTTTTGTAATTAAACACGTACTCGTCAGTCTCTGTGCCAAGAAGCTTGCTTTGCGTTAATTGCTTTAGGGATTCATGAATCTACCCTTGTTTGAGAAGGAGAGGGTGAGGTGAAGTTTTGCTTAAAAAAAAATGAAATAAAAATTAAAAAAGACGTGAACAGCCTACGCAAGGGGAAATTTATTCTGTAGCCTGCTGTGCAACTTCTTGCTTTAGTTTATGAAAGTGGAATGGGGCTGCTAGGAAAATCCCATGTCTCGTAGCTGCCTCATACCAGGAGAGAGGTCAGTGTGAGCATCGTGCTTCGCTGGGCTGGTGAGATGGAAATTTGCCTGCTGGTGGCCTCCTTGCAAGTGCTGCGTTCCCCTCGCCCTGTGCGAAGGCTTCCAGCGCCTTGCTGAGTATCACTAATTAATCTAGAGGTAAAAGAAGTGATTCCTTTGTTTCCCTGGTTCCTGGGTGTGCCAGCCACTGGCTCAAAGCCTAAGCCACTTTGTGGGGAAAATGTAGTGATTTCTCCTGCAGGTGCTGACTGTTTCTCTCAGAAGGGTTCTCTCATCCCCTCCACCATCAGCCCGTGCTCCCGGTGATCTCTGCGTGCAGGAAGCAAATAAATATGTTTTTCCCTTCCCAGCACACTCTTTCCCTTTTCCCTAATTGTTGTGATCAATATACCACTTAGGCTAATGGTGTGTTTCTCTCCCTGTGCTCTTCAGGAATAGGGGGGGGTGAAAGCTCCTGTAATAAGGCTGTTTTCCCAGGATGGCAAGCACCCTGCCCTGCCCAGTCTACAGGAGCTCACAAGGGGCTGGTATTAAAGAGGAGTCAACATTTATTTGCATTAAATAAAGCACAGTTCAAGCCAAAATGCTGAAAACTGGGGTTTCTGTCTCCAGTGATGGGGAGAAAACAATCTGTGCCAGAGAAGCGGGCTGGAAGCAGAGGCGGAGGAGGTGGCTTTCCATACGTAACCTCCAATGCTGTGCTTCTCCATGTTCAGGCTCTTCTGTAGAACTGCTGAAAGTTTGAATACAATACTCATTACTCTTCAGGCTTCCTGCACCGCTCCCTTACTGGGATTCAGTACTGAAGCTTAAACCAGAACTGTTCTGAATAAGCATATAAAAAAAGTACCCACGTCTGAGGAAGACTGTTGGGGGTTTTTTCAGTAGCAGCTGGGTGCTTTACCCAACCTTCATTCACTCAGAAGCTTCTGCATCGTGGCCTAAAGTCTGGCCTAGGAAAAAAGAAAGCTTCCTTTGGTCTTTCTTGGATGGTTTTCTGTTGGAATGGGAATTCACTTTATTGCCTGCTATCTAGTGGAGAGTCTAGCCCTGCTGTGGGAGGTAATTTCTGTTTCTCCACTGAGATCATGCTATGTAATCAGGTGCAGAGAAGAGCTTTCATCCTTGAAGACAGAACTAAAGCTACATGTTTGCTTTGAATCCAGGGGTAGACTAATTGCACGTGGAGTTTGCAGGCAATTTGTTGGAGCTATTGATCAGTTGACTGAAATATTGATGAGTGCGTGTTTTCATTGCTGCCTAATGGAAAGATGAGAAAAGCCACGTTCATCTTGCAGCCACATTCAGCCTGTCATACCCAAACGCAAGGCAATAAGGCTTTTTGCAAAGAATCTCTGGACGCTGGGGAATGAGGGATGGGATTTCAAGCTCTAATCTCATTACAATTTATGTGCTGAAAGAGTTGCATGGTTTTTGCAGTGATATTCAAACATGGCATCTTCATCTAAAGCTGTGCTTCTGCCTATCCTATTCATTTGCCCCATCATTTTTCTTTTTGGGAGAAGTGCAGAACTTGTTTCCCCTCCCCTTTGCTTCTTTGTACCCCCACTTTGCATCTGTGAGGTCCTTGGGTCTGCCTTCCTTTGCCTGACTTACACAGTTTTCTACACCAACATCAGGATGGGTGTTTGCCTCCTTCCTGGTCCAATCCAGTGCTTCTCTTTCAGGGGTGATAGTAGCCCTGCAGTTCCCTGTGCTTTGGGGTGAAATGCTTTGTAGTTCCTGCTTAATAGTGTTTGTGTCATTCTTGTAGTTCTGAAGATGTCCTGCAAATAATTTGTAACAAATCTACTTCAGTCAAATCCTCTCCCTGAAATTACAGGCATGGAATTCCATTTTGGTTGGCCTGACACCCATGTTGCCCAGATGGGTGAGATGTATGACCTACAGAGAGACCTTCACTCCTCTAGAGTGGCATGTGGAGGGGATACAGGCTGTCCTATGCTTGTAATATCTCTTCAGATGTCCCAAGTTTGGACAAGCGAGTGTCATCCTTAACACTGTACCAAAGTCACAAGCTACATAACATTGTTAATTTCTTGATTTAAGGAGTCGCTTCATTGCATGTATATCTTATTTTTATGCATTCAGTTAGAAACAGCTGTGACTTGTTCAGGATCACGGTAATAAGAAACTTTCTTTCCTAATTTTGTCTTCTGTCCACAGGTCCAGCAAGAGCAAAGTAACCACACCGCAGAACCTGTAATAGATGACTATAAAAAGATGGGGACTCTCTTCGGCGAACTAAACAAAAGCCTTATCAGAATAGGCTTCACAAGGATGTACTTTGGGGAACGGATAGTAGAACCTGTAATAATTATATTCTTCTGGGTTATGCTCTGGTTTCTTGGCCTGCAAGCTCTCGGACTGGTTGCTGTTCTGTGCCTTGTCATTATTTATGTACAACAGTAAAATTTTATAGATGCTGCTTGGATCGTGTATTTCAACACTGTCACTACGTCAGTGGATTTGTGTGTTGAAGTAAATGGGTGGCATAGCAAAAACTGCAACTTCGAATTGCATTTCGCTGAACTTCCAATGTTTAGGGTGAGGGGGACTAAAATGATGCATTTTAAGCAAAATCAGCAGTGCCCTGCTACATCTTTGAAAGGCAGAAAAGGAGATGTTTGTAATATAATGGTGTCCAATGTACTGTTTTCTACACTCTTGGGGCGTTTGTCCAAGGATTGGCTCTTTGTTCCCACCCACCCGACACCTCCCCAGTGTTCTTGCTTTGTATGGTGAAAATGTCCTGCCTGTTTTTAAGAGGACAATGATTTGAGTGTCCTGTTTCACTGCTGAGGAGGGGCTCGTCTGCTGTTTGTTCCCTGAATCTGTGTAATTTGCTAGGTTTTCTTGCTGAAAAGCGAAATCTGCGCAAAGGAGGTGTGCTAAAAAACCTACAATGACAACTGTTTGTGAGGTGAAAAACAACTTCCCGACGCAAAAGCATCTTTGGGTAGTACAGTTTGCAGCAAGCTTTTCCCCAGGAAACAAGCTGTGCCAGCAGAATGCTTTTATACTGATACTCGTGGCTTCACACAAGGCTTCAGCTGTTGTTTAGGAGGAATTGCTGTCCTGTGTTGGCCAAATGGTCTAATGTTGCTCTGCCTTGGTTTTGGAAATTTACTCGGCTCCTGCTGCTATTATTCTTTCTTTCTTTTTATTAATATACTTGCTCTTTCCCCCAGCCCTCCTCCTGAAGATAAATATTTGGATAATTCATGGACTTGGTAGGTAGTAACAGCTGCAGTGTTGGAGAGCTGCCATTCCAGAATATTGTCTGCTTCCTCTGGGAAGTGTCTGAACAACCTGAGAGATGTCAGATGAGATCTCTTCCCGAAATTTGCTGCAGTGGGGACCCAGCTCGAGCTGGAAGCTTTGTGTACATAAGCAAATCAGACCTGTTTTCCTCATGCAAGGCAGGAATGTAGTTGAAATCAGGTGGTCATTTTACTTAGGAGGCTTAACCGATTCCTTTCTGCAGCGGGCAACAAAAATGTGTATCAATAGGTGCATATTGTGGGCGACACAAATCAGAGAATGGAATATATACGTGTAAGAGTAGGTGCAAAATTCAGTCTGGCTTCCAGAGAGACAGAGCAGGGATGTATTGAATATTTCCAAGTTGAAGGTGCTCGTTTAAAGAAAAGCAGTAAAATGAGGCGGAATCTTTACTAAATAGGCTACCGATTTAATATTTGCTGTGCGTTCCTTTTAGTAAGGAACTTAATTCCAAAATTAACTTCATGTATGGTAGAGTGAAATTATACATTAGAGAAATGTAATAGAAGATGTGAAATTTACAGAAAACTCCTTAAGCTTTTGCAGTGACTTTTTTCCTAACCATTTTTATACTAGTAGAGGTAAACAATTTCAACAAATAGTTGAAAATGCTGAATTATCCAGAAACTTTTGAAGGTAAGGGGAGCTTTTCTATGGACCCAGTCCTGCACCTGGACTCTGAAGGCCGAATTTATGCCTGCATGGATCATGTTGGTCACTGGGCTCTTATTTCCTTGGCCTCAATCCTTAGAGACTTCCCTATTAGTGAAATAATTGTTATTTAGGGCAGCAAACATGAAGGCCCAGCTCCTTAAAGTCTTTCTGTGCCTAAATGCCATCTGTAGACTTGTCTCTCTGCTTGTCTAATGAACGTGCAGTTACCTTCTGAGGAGCCAGGTCTCCTCTCCAGATCTTCAGGTGACCTTGACTGTGGATCCGAGAGGCTCTGCTGAACTGGCAGTGGGACTGAAGCCCAGCTGCGTATTTAGCTGGCAACCTGTGCTGATTGGCACCTAGTTAAATAGTTAATGCTGATGGCAGGGAAAGGGTTTACAACAGAAGGTGATCCTGGATACAGGGGTTTGTTACTCACAGCTGGAAGTCCCAAAGCAACCAGCAAGTACAGGCTACGCTCAGAGGCAGGAGCTCTGTACTCACAAGTGCCTAGGGGTAGACTTTGGGTTTGTTTCAGGTCCCTTAGAAAGCAGAACATCTGTTTACACCTTTGCATATTTGTAGAGATATAATGGTGGGTTTATGTGTATTCTTCTCCTGTATAAGGGCTGTACTACAAAAGCATCTTGTCATTAAAAAAAAAAAAAAAAATTAAAAAAAATCCTTCCTTTCTTTCCACAATCAACTGTTCAGAGAATCTCAATCAATTCCTTTTGTCCTGTAGGAAGAAGTGTCCCTGTGATGTCCTTGTTGCAGTAGTTACTCTTGTGTAAAGACTGTGCTGTGAGCTGGCGTGTAGTATTTCCTGAAGGGGTGATTTTGCTCTGTGCTTGAGGAACAGGGAACAATGAACCGAGGGTGTAACTGACAAGTTCAGAAAGGAATTTTTTTTATGTGTGTAACCTTTTATTATGTGCATAACTCTTGACTTTCACTCATGAAGTCATTTCAGTTGTTCTTTTGGTGTTCGTGTTTGTATACACATATCCTAGGGAAAAGTAGCGTTTGGACCAAGATTGTGTTTGGTAAATGTTTTATATGGTTTCTCTTAAGGGTGACTTACTATGCCTTGTCCTTCACAGAAGTTTTTCGTTTTTAAAAATCTGAAGAAATATCTCTCCTAATTAATGGAGAGAAAAATAATGTATTGCATGGAAGATACCCCTCTCCTGTTTGGTTTCATACATTCCATTGTATATAAGAATTTGCACCGAATCGTCTGTCCTAATTTTGTGCGATTGCTATACTATCTCCCTGTCATTTGCAGGAAAGGAAAGAGGAGTTACGGAAGAAAAAGGGGACTGGGATGGAATTGGACATAATGAGGGGAAAATGGAATGCATGAAAATGATGCATACATGTGTGTGAAAAGAAATCTGTTTGTAAACCTGTGCCAAAAGTGAGAGGGGAATGGATGAACAGTCCTTGTGTTATGTTCTTCCATCCAGGTGTAGTTCCAAGGCAGAGGGAGCACCAAGTGTTCAAATGATGTCCCTAGCAAAAAAGCAGAAGGTTGATTTAAAAAAAGAAAAAGAAAACGTCACTTTTGTCGATATAGTGAAAATTGATAGTTATTTATAATGGTATATGTGATGATTATTCTTACAGAACTGAGAGCACCTTTATGCGTCCGTGTGTGGGACTGTATGAAGGAATTATGTCCCTTAAATCCATGTTAAACAACAAATGATGTAATTCCTGTTGGTCAGTGTAACGTATTGAAAGCCTTTTACATAGCTTCCATTTTTTAAACAACGGACTCTTCAGTACTGTTTCACACCCGCCAAATGCAGAAATGCTTGAACTACTGTGTACAGAGAAGATACTCTGCATGTGGGAGAACCTTGAAGAACCCTGTTTGCACTGAAAAATCATCACATTGAAACTGTCGCTATAAAAAAGGAAAAAATCCTATTTCTTACAAACTCTGTATTAAATGAATCCTATAGAAAGCACTTTGTAATTCTTTCTAATAAAAAAGTATTATCCTCAAGGAGAACTGTGAATTCTTTGTGGTGCTTTGTGCAAGGTTACTCGGATTCTTTCAGAATTTCGTGGTAGGCCCAGGTGAAATGGGGCAGCGTTCAGATACCCACTGAAATCAGGTAACTTGCACCTAGTGGAGAAATAACTGCAATGTAGGAGCTGAGTAAACTCCCTCAGGTCTCTACCATTGAGTTTGCAGCAAGTTACGCTGAATAAAAAGAAAAAAAAAAAGAGTAGCACAGCTAGATGTTAACAAATAACGGCAACATTATGGTGTAAAGTAGCTTTTATTTCATAGCATATCTGTTTTGCATCCACGGCAGCCTCTGAAGGAACCAGGTGTGGTCAGGGGTGTGAAAAATTCTTTAAAGTGACAATTGCTGTCCCACAGAAAGATTTGGGAGGTTTTGGGGTTTGTTTCTGTTGTTTTTTTTTTTTTTAAATGCACATAGAACAGCATATGGTTCAAATCCACTTCAAAATGTTCCTTCTCTTTTTTCCTGCAGGTCCGAAGGGTGATCGTTCTGCCAGATCCGACAGACACCTCCATGTGTCTGTGTTGCTCAGGATGCAGAGATAAGCGGTATATGTTTTCTAAAAGTACCATAGTTGAATTTTGGTCCTTCAAACTCCTACTGGTGCTTGTGCACAAAATAAGGAAGGCTCACTGCTTGAATAAATTCAGGCCTTCAGGGTTTATTTCTGATAAAGTGTCGTGGTCAGACCACTTATAGGGTGCCTGCAAGTTCAAGAACAACCTGGCCTAGACTGTGTTTGATTCTTTCCATCTATATTCTAGGTTTTGGAAATCTGTTTCTTAGCCTCTCCCCTTGCCAGAACTGACACCTCACCTCCTTTTTACTTTTCCTCCTTTCACTCCGTTGCCTTCTCTAGGGCTGTCCCCTAGAAGAGTCTCTGTGCTTGGGCTTTTTCATCATTCCATCTTCTTAAAAGCTGCCTAGACAGAAAATCTATTTTCGGTTGGATATTTTGTTTGCTTTGCTGTGTGACTGCTTAACACCAGAGAGGAGGAAATTAGAGAGAGGATTTAAAAAAATACGCCTGTGTTGGCTAGTCATTTCTTTTTTGTGGTGCTGTGATGGTTACCAAATGGTTTGCAGTCGCCAAAGGTCCAAGAGAGTGTTACAAAGGTGTAGAGTGAAGATTGGTAGATTGGCACCAGGATTTTGAGACTAGATGGGTCAAGCAGCACGTGGCTTAGCGTTGTTTTAAGCTTATACAGGCAGGTAAATAACAGACTGCTAACTTCTCTTAACTCAGTTAAGAGAACTCAGCCAAACCCTCAGTTTCTTCTGAGGATGTCTCCAAGTGCATATAATATTCCTTCTGTGCTCACTCTGGAGAAACTGAGCTTTCGTCAGCTCTGTTCTACACAGAGGAACCAAAACACAATGAGAATGGGAAAGGGGAATTGGACTTAACTTGTGGGCAAGCTTGTAGTCTTTTAAACTTTTAGTCTCATACTACCCAGATAATGTTCTTGTGTCTTGTATAGAGTTGTCAGAGGTCTATCAGCCCCAGCTTATATCTATATTATATTATTTATTTTCCAGTTAAACAGCATGTGATATATGCTTATAAATACTTAAAGGGAGGGTGTTAAGAGGATGGGGCTGGTCATTTTTTCAGTGGTGCCCAGGGACAGGACAAGAGGAAATGGGCACAAACTTGAATGTAAGAAGTTCCACCTAAACACGAGGAGGAACTTCTTTCCTGTGAGGGCGGCAGAGCCCTGGAAGAGGCTGCCCAGGGAGGTGGTGGAATCTCCTTCTCTGGAGATGTTCAAAACCCACCCGAACACATTCCTGTGCAAACTGCTCTGGGTGGACCTGCTTTGGCAGGGGGGTTGGACTAGATGGTCTTCAGGGGTCCCTTCCAACCCCATATGATTCTGTGAAACAGCTGAGTTAATATATCCTTTTTTCCCAAAGAATCTATTGTAAATAACTCCCATCCCCATGTGGCAGGAGGGGTGTGACTGGCTAAAGCCCTTCTAATGACAGGAGCTGTTCTTGGTGCAGCCTCAGGTGAAGCGGCTCCTTCCCAGGGAACCTGAGTGCTGGGGAAACATCTTGCCCAGCCCCGGCCATCACTGGAACAGCTGGAGTGCAAGCGGCATGGAAGGGGAAGGATGTTCTACCACAGCCCAAGGATTTGATTGGACAGCATATTTGAGACAGAGCTGTTATGCAGTACCGTGTCTAGGTTTTGTGTTCATTAAATGTAAGTTAATTAAACCCAATTGTTTCTTGGCTTGCCCTGGCACATCGTTCCAGAATGATGTTCTGCTTGCAGCCAATGTTTCTGCTTCTGGAACCTCTCTGTGTCTGTCTAGGCTTATTTTAGTAGTTCGATTTACTGGTAATTGCATTTTAAAGCATGACAAGGGAAAAGGGGCTCATCTTCCACTCCTCGTTTGGATGAGAGTTTAATTAATAGATGTTAAGAGGGAGCCAAATTAGCCCTTGGTAAACTATTGAGGGCTTCCTCGTAGAGGAAGAAGCTGCTGACCAATGTGTGGGTGATGAAGGTACAAAAGACATGGGCTTGCAGAAAGTGACCATTTTTCTGTGCTCATTCGCAAATAAATTCTCTGTTTTCTAATGTAGTGATCTTCCTCAGGCTGGCAGGAACATGCTTCCCAGGTGGAAGAAGTCTGTAGCAAGGAGATGAATTATTAGGTAAGGAAAATCCTTTGGCAACCAAAATCTTGTTCTGCTAATTGTCAGACACTGGGAATTCTCTTCTTGACTTGAACGAGATTTGAGTTCTTAAGTGCTTTGGCTTGTTAATTCCTTATTTTGAACATTTTACCCGGTTCTTTTATTTTTAAATCCTTTTAAATCATTCTTTCCTTCATGTTCTTTGTAAAAGCTGCTAATTCCAGTCCAAAGTTCTTAAGAGCCACTCCTCTGTCAACGGCTGTTACCGGTGGGGTGAAGATGGCCCACGCACACTGGATGGCAGGTCACGGGGAGAGACACCGGTGGGTCTTCGGCCGTGTCACAAAGCCTTAAAGCCGGTCTCCTGCAGTTCCTTTGCTGTCACTTTCTGTGTTGGTGCATCTTGTTAGGTGCTTAGCGAGAGCTGGCATCAGTCGAGTGTTCTTCAGTTCCTTGGGCATCTCAAGGCCCTTGAGCTTGGGACTTTATCTGCTGCTGAACAGGCTCTGCCCATCGCCGGGCAGCCGAGCACCCACGGAATCTCCTTTGCTTCTTGTTAACAGAGTGGAAATATACTCCAGCCTGCTGCGGTCATGTCCTCCTCCTAAAAAGATCAGGAAAAGCGTGATGATACAGTTTTCCTGAGAGAACAGACGTTCCTATGCCTCTAACCTCACTTCAGTAAGTCCCTCTGTGAATCTTCCTGGTGCAGGGAGGAAGAAAGATTTAAGAGTCTATTGCCCATTTTTGATACTTAGTAGATAAGAGAACCAAAGGCATGCAAATGTTTGAATAATTTTTTTTTTTTTCATTTTGATTCCTAGTTTATTCATTCCATCTGTGATTAGAAAGATAAGAAAGTATTTGGCTGAGCTCTGCTAGCAATGGAGATAACGGGGCTCTTAGTGAACAGATTCTTATCCCAAGATCTTCAACAGGTACATACAAATTGCTGTTAACAAGCACTTTTTTTTTTAGCTTTCCTTCACAGTCTCTATTTTTTCTTGCTCTAATGCATTAGTCAAGGTTTCTTTTTAAAAGAGAAACACGTATGTTTTGGGGAGAGTCTGTTCCTTGCCATGCATATACCTGCATGGAGATGGGGCTGCTGGACAATTTAGCGTCCTGGCCCTGCCCTCGGCATGGGTTTTGTCATTGCTGAGACCTGCCTGTCTTGTCAGCGGGGCTTTACCCACTGAGGGGACTTCTGTGCTAGAGAGCAGGTAGGTTTCAAGTATAGTTAAGGCTTGAGATTAATAGAATTCACTTGTGCAGCGGTGGCTGCGCTGCAGTTTCCCAGGAGACTAAGCCATGGGTTGTAAGGACAGTGTTTTGCAAGGAGCTCTATAAAATAAGCTAAAAAGAATTCAGGTCTTCCTTAGTATCTCTGCTCTGCCATTTATGCTCTCTTCTTCCATTGTTACTAAAAAATAAAAACCAATGTATTTTTAAAATCCTCTACTTAAATTTCTACACAGGTAGCACAGACAGATCCTTTTTGACGCTACCCTCCTCCTGAAATTTTTCTGAAGATTTCCTGATTGCCACCTTTATTTTTTTTCCCCTCAAAATCCCCGTGGAATACAGACAGTAGAGGGAAAAAAAAAGTGTAGCTATTCCCAGACAGAAGGCGTTTGTGTGCAGTGCAGTGGCAGCGCCGCCTGCTTTATCCTTCCTAAGTGCTTCAGAGATCTCCTGGGGAAACTCAGAAAGCATTGAACTCAGAATCAGCTCTGCTTCTGTATCATTATGTACGGCGTTTCTTTTTACTTGTTTTGATCAGTAACATTTAAAAGCAAGTTTCTGACTGAGCTTATTTGGGCCTGCTGCTGTGTCCTAAATAACCCCCACTGTAGGAGCCCCTAAAAGAAGAATCTGTCCTGTGTGTCCTCATACTGCTTTCAGGCAAAGTCCCCAGGGCCATATTTGGATCATAATGGAAGGAGCATATTCCACCTCCCAGCACAGCTCTTGGTCCCACACTAACTTCAGGGGTCCCTTTATTCTCCTTTAAGAATCCATCCAGAACCCCCTCTCTGCAAAATCACTGTGGAAATTCAAAGGGGATTTTCAGCCTGCCATAACCCTCCCTGTGACACAAAGTCATGAGTAAGTGTGCCAGAATTCAGATGTTTAACTGTTACTCCCTGTGACACAAAGTCATGAAGTAAGTGTGCCAGAATTCAGATGTTTAACTGCCACCGGATCTGGTGAAAAGCCAAGGTATTTTACAGTTTACTGTAAAACAAGGAAGGAGTGAAATCCTTCATTCCCTCCACTTTCTGCACCGTTAGTGATGTATTCGCTGCACGCCTGGTGGGTTTTTTCA